GACTAAATCAAATAAAACTGAGTCAATGAACAATGCAGAATTTGTTTCATTTCAATTCCACTTTGCATACGAACTGCCTGGATGGAGAGAAAGAGACCACGACGGTTCGAGCCGCAAAGCACACGGCATGATTAATACGCTCACTCTATATATCCGAAGTCTTCTACCTTACTCTTTTTTTTTTGTTTCTTCGTTCGTTCGTTTGTTTATTCTCGATTGTCATTCTTTCTGTAGTTCAATTCAGTTTAATGCAGCAATTTTAATTGAAACAAACTTGTATACTACACATGCATACACAAGTAAAAGAAAATAAATATTAAATAAAATATCGCACGAGGATAGAAATAATAAAATAGAAAGGAATGGAATTGAAATTGGAATACAATGGTATATATATATAGTATATGTGTGTGTTATATAAATGATATAGAAAGCTCTGGACGCATGGAAATGGAATTAGTTGCTCTTCGCAATAATGTAGGGACAAATGAAATGTGACGATAAACAATCGCAACATTGATTGAATTAAAAGCAACGAAATAAACGAAACTGCCTTAATAATCTATTTACATATTAAATATGTCCTATTCATAATCTAATAATAACTATCATTTCGCACAGTAATTGCATACACTTTGCTCACTCGATATATATCTCTCCGCCATTCAATATATTCTAAACTAAATAAGCGCATTGTCATATAAATGTCATTGCCTGCTCTATTCATCGAAACAATTTACCATTGATTATTATTACATACTTGCTTTTTCTTTTATCGTTACGATAATTTTACACATTCCAATTGGATTTATGTTCTCCGACAAGTTCAATATTGGTATGTTTTAGTATTCCGGTTGCTAAGGACGCTTAATTATAGTTGGTTACTAAGGACGCTTCTGCAGTTGTTAAGGACGCTTATTAGTTGTTATGTACGCTTTTACGTTGTTATTAACGATACTCGATTGCTATGGACGGTTCTGCGGTTGTTAGTAATTGTTAAATATATAAATTACATACAAACTATGTGAATTCCATTTATAGTTCAAATTTCTTGACACAGAACATTTAGTGTTTTCTTCTTTTTTTTTTTTAAATAACACCATGTGAGTCACGTGCGTAGTAAATACGTCCTGTTGACCTTCGTCTCATCATACCAATACAATACGAAATAATTAAAGAATATTCGATGAATATGCATCAAAATAAAGGAACAAAAAAAAAACGTAGTTACTGTTAAACACTGAAACATTTCACGTTTGAACTGTAGACCCTATTTCCTCCATTAACTTACACAATTTCCATAATGATTCACTTGCTACACCTTACGCAATTTGCATAACCTATATATTTGCAAAAGAAAAGAAAAAATGACGGTAAACATTGTTTGCTATTTTTATTATTGCGCATCTAAAAAAAAAACGTTTCTATTTTGTTTTCAATATGTCGGCTTACTTGTTGTTATTGTTAGATACTCGAGTGCAGTAAAAAAAAAAAAAGGTAACAAATGAAAATATTGATTTATTTGCAAACCTGTTTTTCGACACAACTATTTTACAGATGATCGAAGAATCGTTAAAAATAACAATTTAATATATAGATCATAGTTTGTGAGTTTATCTACATTCCCCAAATAAACAAACAGTGTTTACCTGTAGCGTTTCTTTTCTTCTGTGGAGAAATTTCGTTTAACACGATGCATTTTTAACCGTGCGTGTCCGGAGGAATGAAGAAGAAAGGACGTAAAAGAAGCAAAAAGGAATCGAAGAATATAAATGTAAGTGTGTATGTGTGTGAATGTATATAATTCGTGTTCCGTTTTATCAAGAGCGATTATCGGATGGGCGCGCGATGGACATTACCATACAATAGAATATTGCATAAACAATTTTCATACTTCACCAAAATATAAGGTTTCGTACTCTCGCGCTGCTCTCTTCTCTCTTTCTTCTCTTCTCGGCTTTGACTTGGAAACTCTTTGGCCGCAGGACGACGACGACGGTTCCCCCCGGAATTATAATTTAAGGTCAGCGCGGCGCGCTCACAATTGCATTGTTTCATAATTCATATGCAGGCGAAGGAACATGGCGAAAGTTGCACAAGTTTATATAAAGTGTGCGTATATATATATATATATATATTTAGCCAAATCACAATGGATACAGGATGTGTGTATATGTTGACACTCTCTTTTCATTTCCTTCTTCGAAAAGATAAAGAATTGCAATAACAACTGATAAAAAAGGAATATTAACTTGTTTCTTGGTAATCAAGAAGGCCATTACTGGATTTCGATGTTTACGCTTCTAAAAGTGAGACTTTTTTCACTTCGTAAATTACGTTCAAAATAAATGAGAAATTAATATTGGATTATTATCTGTGAGATGAGGAAGGAATTGAACTGAAATCGTTAACAAATCATATATTACGCCCAATATTCAAATGCGCATTGCACGAAGAGCATCGAACCAGTTTATCATGTTTTTTTTTTTTGCTTTTTTTAAGGACTATTATCCTTAATGGATTCCTGGTACGATCTAAATCGCATTAATAGACCAATAGTGAACAGCAGCAGCACAACATTCTTTCCATCTCTGTTTCTCTTGCCGATTCTTCGTCGTTGCTGGTAGACTGTTGTTGTCTTGGACTTTCTAAAAGATGAATGGTGCAAAGTGTAAATAAATAAGGCATGACATATCGATGGTGGTAATTGTATTCGGACACCACCGACGGCGGAGCGAACGTAATTAATTCAAAGTGGCCTCCTCCTTCTCCTCCTTCTTCTCCTCTTCCTCCTCGGATGACTGATGATCGCGCGCCACAAGAGACAATCATAGATGTATCATTACCAAAGAGAAAGAGAGAGAGAGAAAAAGAGAGTATCACCAAGTACAACTAAAACGATGATATTGGTCCAACATATTCAAGAGTATAAGAAGATTCCAATCTACAAATGAAACTAATTTCAATTCGAGCATATTCAATGGCCCACGAACAGATTACAACCCATTACACTCACCATTAGCTGTTCTCTTTCTCCGCTTTAGCTGCTGTTGCTGCTACTACTACTACCACTATTCTGCTATTACCATTACAACTTCTTGCACACTCGTAGCGCGCTTTTGTTTCTCTTTTGCGGTTGTGTGAGTGTGTGTGTGTACGTACGGATTTTCGAGCCATTTGAATTGTTAATACCGCTGAAAAACGATAAATTATTTCCTTTTGTAATTCAGGTTTATTGTAATTTAAGTCTACCGACAATTTGTTATTGTGTTGGATAGGATTACGAAAGTAGCAGATATATTCACTGTCCATACACAACACTCTGATACCGCATACATACACACTATACACACTCCAACTGTATGCAAACTCTGCTTACTATATTAGCATTCATTTTCTTTCTTTTGTTTTTTTTTCATATACTACTAAACACTTTCGATTAGTCACTACAATTTTGTAAATTTTAACATTACTTAACAATTTTAAAAAAAATTTGAAAATTACAATTTTATAAAAAAATAAAATAAAACCACAACTTTATAAATCTTGCATTGAATTATTTCGAAATGTATTTTTTAAAAGTATAGAAGATTCCAATAATTTAAATAAATTGGAGTTCGATTCGGGACACGGAACAGTACAGACGTTTTTGATTGTGATAAGAAATATTTCTGTTTTCTGGATTCGTTTTAGATCAAGTGTGCAGGAAAAGCGGAAAACCGAAGAAAGAATCCGTAAAAAAAACTACTACAACGAAAATCAAAGATGACAGAGATCTTCAAAACGCCACAAGAACCTGCTATTTCAACAGATAAGAAGTATTTAGAAAACAAAAAATCTCTAAATGTTTTCAAGATAAAAGTGCGCGAGGCGACAACGAGATCGCAACTGTCTAAATTGTGGTCTGGAAACGAAGACAGGCTTCATTATGAAGACAGAAAACCCTAAGGCTGCGGTCGTTGCGTATCTGACCTATATGCGGGATTGAGGTCACATCTTGTCCTACGTCGGGAGCGTTCCTCTTCCGAAGGAGCCAAAAAACACAAACTTGTGTCCTCACAAGGATGGGTCTTTCATCATTCTTCAGCCGAATGATGCTTCAGAATATATCCAAAGGGCTGGTTGCATTATAACTAATAAATATTATTATTTTTATTAAATAAATTGATTTTAGATTGATAAAAGTTTTAATGTGAAAATGATAAAATTATTGAGAATTTAAGAAATTTCAATAATTTGAAAACCAATTAGAGTATAGGAATAAAGGTTTGTTTTTTTTGGTGGAAATAGAAAATAAAATGTTGTTTTTTTTTTGTAATAAAAAGTTTGTATGTTTTTAATTTAAAAATAGAATGTTATGTAAGGCACTAGTGTACAATGGCATTATTTCTAAGAAATAACATTGAGACTAAGTTGACTAGATGTAAGTTTGCGGGGCGCATCCTGAATACAACACTATAATAATAATAATAATAGTAATAATACTATAAGTATACAAAAAAAAAGAAAAACAAAAGTGTTGTGTACAGATTCGAAAAAAAAGAATAATAAAAATAAAAACAAATAAATATTTGAGACGAAATGCGACCCACAAATTTGCGTTTACCAACTAAACATGATAATAATAATAATAATATATAATATACAAGATACGCATTAATACGATAATAATTATGTACAGAGTTGAAGTTGAAATATACAAAAAAAAAAATGGAAATATATTAAGATCTCTTTCTCCTCTCTTCGTCTTCTTTTGCTTTTTTTTTCGCGAATTGCGTGTTTACGTTTCGGCTATGTACAAAGATTACATAAATATTTACACAACATCTTTAAAATATTTATATATCTATATAAAAAATAGGAATAACTTTCTTTTGTGCGTCAGTCTTGTCGCTTGTAAATAAGGCACACACACAAATGCAATGCTTTCTGCAATTTGTTGATTGGATTTGTAGGATTTCTTCGTTATTATCATCAGGAACGTGCTGACTGTTACCTTTTTGTGTTGTTGTTGTTGTTGTAGAAGGTAATAGGAATTTAATTAATAGTGATTTTCTGTTGGGACAACGAGATTCGAGAGTCCGGTGCATCCACCTTCGGCGTGTTTCGTGAGCAGAGACATGCGTGAGAATGTCTTGCTGCAGGTCTGACACGAGTACTTCTTGACGTCGGAATGAGTTTGAAGATGGGCGCGCAGATTGGAACGATCCGCGAAAGCCCTGTTGCAGTACGTGCAGGAGAAGGGCTTCTCGCCGGTGTGGGTGCGAATGTGACCTTGGAGGAGCCACGGCCTGGAGAAGGCCTTACCGCAGATCGTGCATTTGCATGGTAAAGTGTGCGTCCTGATGTGCATCTTGAGAGCGCCCAGCGAAACGTACACCTTGTCGCAGTACTTGCAGCTGAACGACTTCTTCGGACCGTCGCCGGCGGCGCAATGGAACTGCCTGTGTTTCGAGAGGCCGGAGAAGGTGGAGTAGCTCTTTCCGCAGTCCGGGCATTGGTGACGGACTCCTCCTTGCCTCCTCTTCTCCGACAGATCTTCGGCGGAGACTGAAGGCGGTGGCGGAGATGTCGTCGAAGAGTTCGGACTGAGACTCTGCTGATCGATGGGGTAGATTGGGGTAGGACGAAGGGCGAGCGGTTGCAGAGGTTGTTGCATGTGCGGCGGAGAACAGGAGGATTCACTGTACGGACTCATCATGTACTCTTGATGATGGTAAGCGTGATGGTACATGAACGCGGGATAGGTGGGTGGATACAAGGGAGCGACACTTCTGTGCCAGGTCTGCGGAGCGTATTCCGGACTGATCGGAGCCGGTGCATACTGTTGCTGCTGCTGCTGCTGCTGTTGTTGTTGCTGGTGATGATGGTGTTGTTGTTGTTGTTGGTGGTGGTAGATGGGTTCACTTTTAACCGGAAATTCACTCTTAACATTATGGGCAAACACTTCGTGTCTCGGCGACGTGGCTGGCGAAGACACCGGAGACGTCGTCTGAGGTGAAACTGGAGGAGAGATAGATTTCACTGCGCTGTACCTCCCGGTGATGCTCAGATCCTCGGGTTTGGTGCTCAAGTTTTCTGGTTCATCTGCAAAGCAAACAATAATTTAGTCAACTAGTCCAACAATAATAACATTCGATTGGAATTTTAATGAAAAAATGAAAATCCTTCGTTGAATTCCAAATGCATTTTCGAATACACACCTGATTCGATGATAGGTACGGGCCTCTTCTTCAAAGGGCAATGAGAATAGTTTTTAGCCATGATCGTCACCGGCATAATGATGATGATGTGTAATCCAAAATTCGGAAGATGTTGGTAATCCACAAGATAAGGCACACAACAAATCAAAATCACCACACACTGTCTCTGTTCTTTACTACTACTACTACTTCTTCATATATATTCGGTACTACTTCGAATGATACGAATGAGTTACGAATGATGCTGATGCTGATGATCGATCCACACGATTCGAGCGCTGAATTTGATCTGCTTTCGGCTCACCCTCGGCCCTCTTTTATGCACGGCTCCCACCCCGGACTACACGTGCCCTCCGACCAATCGCAGCGCGGCACTCTTTCATTGACCAATTGCACGACGCCGGAGGTGGGGGAAACAGGTGTGCTACTGCTGCTCACCTTAACTAGCCCGAACGCATTTAACTACTCTACTACCTTAATTAAAATCTAATGATACCTCTCTTCTTGCTCCACATATATTCCACATCTCACTGCTTCATTGTTTATCATTAGAAGAAAAGACAAGAAAAAAAACAATTCATGAAATATTTTACAATTTGCTTACTTTAACAAAAAAATGTTTCACTTAAAAAACAATTATAATCAAAATTAATTAATTCTAGTAATTAGTAAAATTACTAATAGTAAAACAATTACAATTCAATTTTGATCTTGTATTTAAAATTAAAATAAATTTTAAAAATTTACAATTTATTGCTTTCTTATTTAAAATAATTACAATTAACAATGAATCATTATTACAAAATATCCCTATATAAAAATTTATATTAATTTGTCGAAAGAAACAACGGTTTTTGATTAATAAAGGCGAACGCACGCGGTGACTTTAACGCGAAAGCAGACGACGAACCCGGAATTAAAATCACCTAGTTTTTGAAAAAAACAAAAAGATTTCCAAATAAATTACATATATCATCATCGTAATTTCTCATAATTAGTATTCGATGTTTTCAGATTTATTTTTTATTTCTAATATTGCATTTTCAATTGATTTAATTATCCAATTCAACGATTTAGTTTTCTAATCATTTATTTTTTCTTGTAAGTGTAAAGTCAATAAATAAATTGTAAAAGGTTTGAGCTCAAGAAAAACAAGAAGAAAACACGTTTCGTCTTCTTCTGTCCGAGCACATTTTAAGTGCGTTCGGTTTTTTTTGTTGTGTATTTGTTTGTTTGCACACGTCGATAACGGGGAAAGTTTTATTATCGTGTAAACATATTGATTTGGTTTTCTGTTGTTTGCAGGGATGAAGGAAATGAACGGATGGATGAATAAATAAATGAAATTGAAAACAAGAGGAAAACCCTGGTGTCGTTATCAAAACTCATATCCTCATCCTTTCTTATCGTTTATTTCTTTTTCCGTTATTGAACGATGCGGTCGTTTGTTTGCCCATACATTTTTCGACCATTAAAATATTATTTTAATACCATGTTTTTTTCACACCTCGCCTTTCCCGATCGCAGGTAAATGGTAAAACCCTGCGAAGAAGATTACTTATATTTGTTTATACTTTTCCATTAAAGATAATAGTATTATCTGGTATCCGCTGTTCTCGTCCTCGTCCTCCTCATCCAGCAGATTACTTTTATAAGTTTTACACTTTCTTCCAAGAAAGCAAAGGATTAGCCGATTGCGTCGTCACGTTTCAAAAACAAAAACGACAACACCAAACAAAAATAAATAAATAAACAACAACTTGAAATTAATGATGTAATTATGTAATGTAATTTTTAAGTAATATTATTTGCAAATATTTCAGACATTCAGTTACTTTTCTATTTAATATTATTATTATTTGTGAATTTGCAATATTTACTTGTGATTGTGAAATCAATAAATATTTAGATCAATTGACATATGGAAATGCAGTAATAAGTTTGTTAATAAATATTCAGATTGAGGTAATGAGACGTGTTAGTAAAGGCGGAGAGAATGTGAAAGAGATGCGGACGATGTTTCGGATTTTGATTGGTGCGCGAGAAGTGTGAATGCATTAAGAGTGGAGATTGTGGAGAGGAAGTTGTTGATGGAGCGATCAAATCCTCTTCCTCTTTTCTCTTTCCTTCTTCTACTAATAATACTACTACTTATTTTTTTTTTTTTTTTTCGCTGCTGCCTGTAAAGAATCAAAGCAGGAAAAGGTAAGAACCGGTGTTCGAGTGTTGCGCTGCATGCGAGTGTAAGAAAGAGAGAGAGAGAGATGAAGAATAATAAATAAATGGATACCATCGGTGTCGGTAGCAGACATTTCTGCACATGCTGCATGTGTTGAACATATAGCACAGACCCTCCAGAGGGGTGGCTCCGATCGACCACCTGAGCCACAAGGTATGACAAGGGACGAGGCGAGGGGCCCCTCATTTTCTATATATATACACACACACACACATACGTTCATCGAAGCATATGTGTGTGTGTGTGTGCGTTTATGTTTACTTCCCTTCCCCCTTGTAGTAGTAAATGAAGGGTGTTCGTAACGGTCCTAGGTATGAACTCGCAGCTGTCTAGCGCGTGCCTGTGCTATACCGCTGCCCTTTGTTACACATGTTCCAAAAGCTCACACTCAACACATGAACACACACACACACACATTTACGCAAATATCAATTCAAAATTACCGAATAATTCGCACTCATCTCAATTCCTTGCAAAGAAATCAACACACCGTTCTTAAAGAAGCAACACAATTGTTTCTTCTTCTTTTGTTTTGAATACCGCCAACCAGGATATGCACATTGCCTTCATCAAGACTCATTTAACTGCACCAGATTAAAACAATTTACAAATAACGAATACTCGAAACCTCTCTTAAGCATCATTTTTCTGTTATTGTTGTTGATATTATTATAAATGAAGTCGTGCGACAGCTCGAAACTACTTTTTGTTTGTTCATGAAAACAGGAATAGTGAGCGCTTACATGAGGAATTAGTAATGCGACATCTGCCAGTGCTTCTAAAATAATTGAAATTTAGTTCACTAAACTCGTAGCCCGCGTAGGGTGAATTATAATACCGCATGGTAAACGAGTTGACTCAAACCAATTGACCGATAATTGAATGAACAACATCAGCGAAATTGAATTCGTTCCGACCGATGAAATCATCCAAATTCGTTACATTATCGCATTACCATTGGAAGAAAAAAAAAACAATTTACCCTCGACAAACTGTTCTACTTTACCATCAGTATTCAAATTGATTACTAACGTATTAAAAATACATAATAAGTTAAGTATATAATAAAATTAAGCTTACTAAAGTTATTTAAAATGAAATTAAGAAATATTTTTTAATTAATGATTCACCTTAAATGCAATTTAAGTTGCATAATTATAACAAATTAATTTATTCTTATTCCCATGACAACCATTTTTTGTTGTTGTTGGTGTAACCTCATTATCATATTACATAATTTTCAACTCAAATGAACTAATTCAATTGGGACTACTACTTTACATATCTTCGGACGAGATTTACGATCAGAAATCGGAATGCATTATAGAATTTTATATATATGCATGCGTATGTTGTATATATTCTTATAGATTTGGTGTTGTTCCTTTGTTGTTCCATCGTCTTGGAATTTGAATAATCCTGGGTACCTTTGTGCGCGCGTTTAGCATTTATGTTTTATTAATCGGGGAAAGCGAGGACTATGATGATGATGATGGTGATCATCATCATAATGACAATGAGAAATGGAATCGGGCTCACAAGAAATGTTTGCCCTTTGCGAGGTTTTTCAAAGGTCTGGTTTTTCTCGTACGGGACACCCCAATAAAAAAAAAAAAAGAGTACATAAAATAAAAAAGACGAATATCAAATTCGAAAAAGGTACGAGCGAATATACCTGATGTTATAACGTATACGTTAAATAAAATCTAGTTATCGGCGTCGTGAGAATATTTACTCTATTCCACGAATCTAGAGTACTGGAAATTTTATTACAATGCAGTATTTTGTGTTATTATTATTATTAGTTAAGCGAATCTATTTAATATAGAAAATCCTTATTCTCAATTTATTTTATTACGAAAACATACCGAAAGAAATAATCGCATTACGATAAATGCTTATCCGTAAAGAAATGTATGTTTCTGCTGGAAAGCAATAAACGGTTCATATTTTTATACGGCCGCAATAAACTCTCGCTTTCTCTCTCTCTCCATCAAAAACGAAAAATTTGGTCCAAAATATGTGCAAGGAATTTTTGCCTCGAACGTGTCCTTCCATCTACAATAAAGCACTGAAAACACTGTGGAATCACAGCAGCTTAATTATCTTTACTACATTTTGCATGTAACAACGCCCATTTATAACACTTCTTTGCCGGATTATCACGTTTGTTTTTTACCAAAATATGTTTTCCCTTTAATAAACCTATAAAGAAAAAGTTATACAATTTCTGTTTACAGACTGCATTTTATTATTATTATTAACAAAACAGTCATTACGTTTATTGCAATATTTTCACCCTATATAGATGATATTGTAATCAATAAAAAAAAATCAAAATCTAACCTCTACTTAATTGACATATGACAATGTGTCATTAAAAAATAATTACCTAATAATAATTGCTACGATTCACTTGAACTACAATGGAAATTGATCCACAATAAAATACTGACGAAACGGCGTTTGAAGCACGGCAACTTTACGACATTTGCATGTAACCGGCAGAAAACCTCTAGCTTTTATAACACTTCTTCGCCGGATTATCACGTTTGTTTTTTTTTGCCAAAAATGCAATAAACTAAAAATATGTTTTCCCTGATCACGTTTCTATAAAAAGGTTCACCTATTCTTATCGAATAGTCACGTTTCGTGTTTGGAAATTTTTATTATTAACAAAAACAGAAATTACGTCTATTTTTGGTAATTGCAGTGTTTACGACATTTCATAAAAAAAAATAAAATGTAATTATTTGCAACACTTTCTTCTGAACTGTCAAAAATAAAACAAAAAATAAGATAATTTTTTAACCAATAAACGAAAGATGACGTATGTCAATGTGACATTTATAAATTAATACTGTCAAAAAATCGTAGCATCTTTCAACAGCAAACAATGTGAAAATCGATACGTTCTTCTTCTTCTTCTTCGTGTCGTCGAGAGGGATGCACCGGCTTCCGTTTCCGCTCCCTCTCAATACTAATAATAATAAAAAAAACAATGTTGAAATATCTTCTCTTTATATCTTTCGTGTTGACCTCTTATTTTCGGTGTCACGTTCGGCCGTTTCGGACAACGTCCTCCGCGCAAAGAAGAGGTGGACACTATCCATCCGGATGACTGACGCAAGAATCGAAACGGAATTCACAAACACAACGTCTTCTTCCTCCGTCCGCGCATTGTCTTTCGCAGAAACAATAATTGAATCGTTCCGCTCGAACCGTGTAACAAACCGTCACAAAATCTGATCGATTAATTAAACACGTTCATTCGTCTCGATCACCTTTTTTTAATTGACG